TGCTTCTTCTGCACAATTTGCAGAACTAACTGCCTTGACTCTGGCCTTGCAATTGTTTCCTGAAGAACCCCTTAGTATTTGTACTGATAGTGTTTATGTTGCTCAAATTATTAAGCCTCTTGAAACTTCTGCGTATGTTGCACCAGTTTCCACGGTGAATTCTTGTCTTTTATTGGTGCAATCCTTGCTTTGGCAGAAATGCTCACTTTTTGTTGGCCATATCAGGGGATATTCTGAACTCCCTGGACCCTTGGCAGAGGGGAATGCTTTGGCAGATTCTTTAACACAACAGGTTTTTATAACCCAAGATTCCAGTTCATATGATGGGGCCAAGCAGTTACATAATAAGTTTCATATTAATGCCCAATCACTAAAATTTCACACTGGATGCACCAAAGATCAAGCATTGCAAATTGCTACTCAGTGTCCCGAATGTGCACCTTTTTTTCATTCTCCTTCAGTGGGGGTAAATCCCTGAGATTTGATATCCAATGATGTTTGGCAAATAAATGTTACCCATATAAATTCCTTTGGGAAATTAAAATTTGTTCATGTTTCCATTGATACATTTTCAGGAATGATATTTGCTTCTGTCCATAGTGGTGAAAAACATTAAGGCTCATTGCTTGGCTGCCTTTGCTTATATGAAAATTCCCAAATGTGTTAAAACAGATAATGGGCCTGCCTATACTAGTGATGGATTTCAAAAATTTTGTTCTGAGTTTTTTATCTCTCACAAAACTGGCATACCCTATAATCCACAAGGCCAAGCTATTATTGAGAGAGCTCATACTACACTTAAAAATTATTTAATCAAAACAAAAAGGGGGAGTATACCACCAGCCCCTGTACACATTTGTCTACTGTTTTATATATTTTAATTTTTTTGTTGATTGATAAACAAGGTCGCTCCACGGCAGATAGACATTGGCAGGGTGACCACCAGGCTTATGGGGAAGTTAGATGGAAAGAGCTTTCATCGGGGATCTGGAGGGGCCCTGACCCTGTATTAGTGTGGGCTAACGGATCTGTTTCATTTTTCCCAGGAATGCTCCATCCCCGGTTTGGATTCCTGAGCACTGGGTGCGCCCTATTGCTGTTGACAAAGGTCCAGACTCAAGAAATCTTCTGGGCATTGGTAAAGGCACTGCTGATAGTAATGCCTGTGGGTCTGCATGCCCCAGTTTAGCTGATGATGATAACAACAAACTGGACCACCAGAGGGACGGTCTCTCAATTGTTCTTCCAGATCCTGCAAATTGACAAATTGCTGGGGAGCTAAAGACTCCATGGTGTTCGTGCAAGTTCCAGGAGTGATTCCATTGTCAGTGAATGCCAGCATGAGGTTTCCCCTAACCTTCTATCAAGAAAAAGATTTCGAGATTGCCCTTGCTATTGTGACCACTGTTGCCGCGGCCACAACTACTGTTGCAGTTGCTAGTGTAGCCCTGAGACAGACAACTGCTGTTGCTGCCACCTTGGATTGGCTTTCTGGAGAGGTTGCCTCAGCTCTGTCACTTCAATGCTATTGATGGACATATACAACTTGGACTTTTACAAGAACAATTGGATTATGTTTGGGAGGTTCATGGAAGTGGCCCACTCTTTTGGATGTTGTGCCATTTATTGTTGCTCCTCATGAAGTGGTAAAATTATCTTGTGATGTGGGACACCTGACTGCCTGTCTTGGAAGGACTTTGTAAACTTCATGCATGTCATCTATAAAACAAAAAAGGGGAAGAAGTTGGGACCCAGCCCCCACGGGGTCTCTGTGAGTTGTTTTCCAGCATAACCACAGGTACCTTCTGTTTTTGTAAGCCTCTCCCACTCACATCCTGTTATGATCCTTTCTTGTTACTGAAACATTATCCTTGCCCCCATCCCCTTCTTGCTTCATTGGCCGTGGGTGGGGGGTTGTGGTTTCCTTGTTTATGATAGGACGTGGGAGTGCATTCTTCTAGCAGGTGATGTTTTTCCCATCTTCTCTTGTATATAAACTGCTGGTTGCAATAAACCGATGGCATTTGCTTCTACTGAATGACCAGAGTTGTGTCCTTCTTAATCTGCAGACTCTCGCCTGGTCTGGTTCTTCAGGCATGGGTGCTGGCGCTGGAGCCTGTGACAAGTATCCATTCTCCTACCTGCTATACAAGTTGCCTTGCACTAATTATGAAACTTCCACTTGCTTCAATTTCCACAATCAAGAAATGGGAACAATAGTGCCAGGAAGATGGATTTGTTGGTAGAAAATAGAAGACTACATGTGCATCAACCAGTAAGTGATAGTTGTCATTATTATGGAAATGAGGCATTGTCTTGGTCTTAAGTTTGCCTCACAAGGAGGACCCAGAAAGACTCCACTGAATTGTAATCAGCTGAATAAATGCATCTTATTTCTTTTTAAGTGTATTTTTTAGTATGAAATCTGTCCCAAGAGTTTTATTTGGTCTCATCTATCATATTGCTAGCACTCAATTAAGGCAGTAGAGAAAGATAACTAAATAAAAATACAACCAAGGAAAAATAATATAATAAAAGTCTCTACATATATATCTCTTAATAATTAGGAGCAAAGGGACCTTTATGAGTACCATTAGTCCATCTACATGGCTTCATCTCTGAAGAAACACTAATGTTACAGAAACTTGATTCTGCATCATTGTGGAATGTTCTAATTATTCATCACTTCTGTCCAAAGTGTACATTGTAAAATATCTATTTACAATAAATATTTTACAATTGTTTATTCCTGCTCTGACACAATAAGAAGTAAGAATCTCAGTCCACATGGTAACAGTGGCTCTACTGATGCACATAAGGGACTCTGTACTCCTCCACACCCAGTTTTCTGATTGGATTTCAGCATTGCCTAGCAGACATACCAGGTGAAATAAAGGGCTTCTATAATTTGTCCCCTTCCACATATGTGAGGCAAGAGCATAGATAGTTGGGGATGGTTGAATCTGGGCACAGAAGGATGAGAATAGAGCCCAGTTGGCTTTAACCCTCATTTTCCCCACCTGAACATGGTTGCCCAGGGTGTCACTGCAGAGTGAGAAAATCCTGTGTTCTGTTATCAACATATTTCCTCAGTCTTTTGGCAGTGGGAACTGGCAGTTCTAACCCTCTGCTTGCACCTGTCACTTAACTCGCCTTTCATGTTTGCTTTTGTATCCTCTTTATATTTTCTTGTGCTGATAATTACTGTTTACTTGACTAGTAACTGAAATATGGAATTGTTTGTAGGAACAAACAGCATTAGACTCTCCTATCAATAGATCACATGCCTCAAATTTTATTTGAATTCTACAAGAAATTCCTCCTACTCCAGAGTACTAGAGAATGGGATGAAGCAAACCAGGCTGATTATGCATCAGATAACCTCCAAGGAGTTGACTCCTGTCTCACGTGTGAGTCAGTTCCAAGCTGAGATAATGACAATCCCTGGTAAAATGTGCCTATAAAAATGATGAAATTGTGTGAGTCTGGTAAATGTCAGGACAGAACTGAGTCATAACATTTTCACAGAAGCCATTGTGTCAGCTCGGCTGGGCTCAGGTGGAAAGAGTATTTCTGCTAATCAGCAGGAGCTGTTTACCTAAAGCTCCTCTTTCCTCACAATTTTGAGTATCTTTTTTAGAGAGAATTGAAATTCATGAACTGAATCTAAGGAATCATATTGCTAATAACATTAAATTCAGAGGTCATTATTTGCTCCAGGTTCTTGGCGTTGGTGATGGACCAGCCTGACCCCATCTTAAGATTAGAAGCCATCATATTACAAGGTCAAAATAAGTTCATTCCTGATTTCTGTAAAAATTTTGACCCATTTTCTTGATTTCAACATGTTCTGTACCATACCCTATACTCTGATCATATCCTGACCTCCTCCTGAAAAGGTGTTCTGCCAAATAATTTTAAGATATTCAACAAAATTCCTAGGTAAACAAAAATCCCCCAACCTTTGGAAATTTCCTATTCTTGTGGGTGTTTACTAAAACTATATAAATGCCACTGTCTCCTGTGTTCATGGCTGTTGTCTCAAACTTTGCTTTAGGGGGACAGCACTGTCTGACAGACAACAGTGATTACTGAATTTGACCAAAAATTTGGATGGGAGTTTTTACTCTCACTTGGTGGGATTAACAGTTGGATGTAGAGCTATTCACATCCTCTGTGATCTATAGTTTAATGGTGATCTTTAATTCATGGGACAGTATGATTAAATGTAACATTTTCTCAATTAAAATTGTGAAAGCATTCATATAGCAAAGATTGTAATTGTAATTATCAAGTGACTTTCAGAAAGGTTTCTTTATGAGAAGCACTTTTTATTGAAAAATTAAAGTTACCTCTCACATCTAAAAGATGAGAAAAGGCAATCAAATCCTGTAATATATGCCTGAGGATTTTCTCTGCCTATTCTTGTTACTTGTTACAACTAAATATGATTTAAAAATTCCCAGAAATAAGAAGGATATGTTTATAATTCTGCAAATAGATAAATCCATAAAAGTAGAACTTTGATAAAGCAAATAGTTACTATTGCCAGGATGGGTCAACCACGGAGATGTACAAGTACAAAGGTTGTAAAGAAATTAGTCATTAATTTGAGTGGGTGTAGAGACAGAGAAGTCTTATAAGAGCAGAATTAATGAAACAGTTGGTAAGCCCTTTCCTTGTTGCTTAAAGATAGAACATTTAGTTAGTTCCTCTAATGTTACCTGAAGTCTAGCTAAGATCATATGAACTAAATTATATTGTTAGCCAGATTGGCTTGTGGTAGAATGACTCATCATTGATGAAATTAATTTAGAATGAGAGGGCAAGAAATGAGCTATAAATGCCAGATGAAGTTGACCTAGCTTTGAGCTTCCATGCATATAAGGCCCATGAAAGCAAAGCCTAAGAGTAGTTTTGTAACATTCAAGTGTCCTGTGAGAGAGATGGCTTTTCACATGCAGTAATAACAACTGGATTTGCCTAATTGTGGGTAGCATTGTACCATAAAACTGTATGCTCATGAGATGTTCTCTTCTGCAAGCTGTGTAGAATACAGTATCAACTGCTGTGTGGGCTTTTTAAGTAACATATCATTTGGTGCTGCCCTTCCACAAAACTATGGCTTCTAGATAATTGACAATACAATGATTCCCAGTGGAGTACTGAGAAGCCTTGTATGTATGGATGTTTGGTAAAACTTTAGAAGACACTGTTTCTCCCTGTATCCTCTCCCACAATCCCCACCAACCTTCCCCTCCCCAACTTGATACTACCATTACAGTCCACCCCTTCCAACCATATCTATCTATTCTGTTTCCCTTTTCTAACATTATCTGTTCTATCTAGTCCCTTGGTCAATACCTACTCTCTGTGGTTCTAGGGATTGTCGCTTATTGTTGACTTAACAGCTAATATTCATGCATAAGAGATGCCAGAGTCATAGGACATCTGTTGAGAAAACCTGATAGCAGGGAGTGGAATCAGTCCATAGAAAGAAATATGCTGCAGTCAACAAAGGTGAAAGGATTTGGAGATCTGAAGAGTGTTTTTTCAACAGACACAGAGACACAGAGTTTGTCCAGCTGGTGTTTGATCTTGCTTTGGTCCAGTATTTCCTTCCTCTGCTCCCTTCCTTACATTTTGGAACAGTTATGTATATCCTATGTCATTATGTGTTAGTAGTATGTGACATGCTTTTTGTTTTGCTTTTACAGAGGAGTACAGCTACGAGACTGCATATGTCTTGGAAGAGACCTTGAACTTTTGGCATTTAAATAAGTTTGAGACTGTTATAGACTAGAGAGACTTTTAAAGATGAATGAATGCATTTTTTTGTATTATGATACGTCTACAAGCCTTTGGGGTCCAGTTAGTGGAATGTAATAGTTTGAAAGAAAATGACTCGAAAAGGGAGTGTCACTATTAGAGGTATGACTTTCTTGGAGTGGTGTAGCCTTGTAGAAAGTATGTCACTATGAAGGTGGCCTTTAAGGTCTCATACATGCTGAAGCCACGTGATAGTTTTTGTTTTATCTTACTATTTTTTTATTTTGCTTTATTCAAAAAGCCAAATGATCTCCTCCACCACCCCCTTCTCTCCTCCTCTTTCTCCTACCTCCTTCCCCTTCACAGGGGTCCATGTATGTCTCTCTTAGGGTCCTCCTTGTTTCCTAGTTTCTCTGGGGTTGTGGATTATAGGCTAGCTATCCTTTGTTCTATGCCTAATATCCACTTATGAGTGAGTACATACCATGTTTTTCTTTCTGTGTCTCTCAAGGGTTTCTTATAGTTCCACGCATTTGCCTTCAAATTTCAAGATGTCACAGTTTTTGTTTTTGTTTTTGTTTTTCTGCTGAGTAGCACTCCATTGTGTAAATGTACCACATTTTCTTTATCCATTCTTCAGCTGAGGAGCATCTAGGTTGCTTCCAAGTTCTGGCTATTACAAATAATGCTGCTATGAACATAGTTGAACAGATGTACTTGTGGTGTGAATGTACATCCTTTGGCTATATGCCTAAGAGTGGAATTGCTGTATCTTGAGGTAGACTGACACCCATTTTCCTGAGAAACCACCATACTGGTTTTCAAAGTGGCTGTACAAGTTTGCATTCCCACCAGCAATGGAGGAGTGTTCCCCTTTCTCCACATCTTCTCCAGCATAAACTTTCCTTGGTATATAAAATAAAATTGTTTGTAATTTAAATAAAAATTAATTTAAAAAACAAATGGATAAATGAGTGACAATGTAGACACAAGGTTAAAGATTCACAACTGAACTGTCACTTGTACCTGCAGAAAGAGGGAAAAATCAGTTTTCTCCAATTTCTCTAATATCCAATAGTGATATTAGGTATGTCAAAAACTCCAGGACAGGCCCATGTTCAGTATTTGACCAACATATAATGGTATTTGTGTGTTTTTAATTAGTTAGGATATGGTGAGAGCATTGGTGATCTTTTATTTTGTTTTTTTTTTATTTGGAGTGTTTTATTGTATTGGGTTTTTGTTTTCTAAGAAGAAACTTAAAGTTGGGTGGGTAAGGAGGGGGAGAGGATATGGAAGGACTTGAGGGAAGGAAAGAATATGATCGAATATATTTAAATTTAAAAATTGTTTTAAATAGGCCAGGCATTGGTGGTGCACTCCTTTAATATCAGCACTCGGGAGGCAGAGGCAGGTGGATCTCTGTGAGTTCAAGGCCAACCTGGTCTCCAGAGCGAGTGCCAGGATAGGCTCCAAGCTACACAGAGAAACCCTGTCTCAAAAAACCAAAAAAAAATTGTTTTAAATAATAAAATATAAAAAGAAGACAC